AAAATCCACATGGTTAATGCTGACTTTCAACCAAGTCAGCTTCACCAATTGAACACTAGAAGAACTTTTCGGTACACGTAACTCAGTTACAAAGCAAGATACGAAAAGAATACTAGTGTGGGGAAAGAAGAAAGGTCTAAGTAACCAAGAAGACTCGCAGCCTTAGACTGACACTTCAGTAATCTTCCAGGGAACACATTTTGTTAACGGGGGCCATTGCTCCAGCCTTAGGCTTTGATTCCACGGGAGGATCTCTGTGGATGCACAGAGCCCACGTGCAGGAATTTTGAACTTGAAGGATTCTATTAGCTGTTCATTTTCTTATTCTGAAAGTATTTCTAATAGCCAAGAAGGCCGCAAAATTTCGTTTGTTGAAAAACAGAGCTGTAGCAGGAAGTAGGACAAAAAAGTGAAAACCCCCTCTTTTAATTTCAACTAGGGTTGGTCACTTAGATAAGCTAAGTATAAAAGGCAGTAACAAATGCTGTCAGTCTCCTTGCAGTTTTAACACCCTCCCAACCCAGCACACTGCCGTACCTCCAGCTGCAGTTTACAGTAAAGGTGCCATTTCTTATCACTCGGTGTGTAATTGAAAAACCACTATTTATTGGTTGGGATTTTGGGTTTTTGGGGGGGCATTCTGTTCATTTTTAAACCAGTGGGGCACACAGCACTCTGGGCTTTTTCACTAATCTCTGCACTTCCAATACTGACTTTAGCCCATAGTCAGTGACAGCTTTTTCCTTTACCCTTTCTCATCCCACTTATCACTAAACTAAATTTAATGTCAAAACTGAAGAATAAGAAAAACTTTTATGAATTGGCCAATTATTTGTTCCCCAAGATACTACCACCTGAAACTGATGCCTGCCATCTACTGGCACCTTTCTCAAAATGCAGTTTTAAGCCAAAACCCCACATCTCTGAGAAAGCTCATAAAGAAAGTTGAAGTTATTCACGGACAAAAGGAAAACCCTGTACAAGATCTCAAGGACAAAAGCTCTGCAAGTCGGAGAACAGACCAGAAACTGGACAGAAGGTCAGTTTCTCCATATGCCTCATACGTTCATCTTGCAACTTATTCTAAGTCCCAGTAGAGGGACTTACTCTAAATGCTGAGTTGTATTGTGGACTTTGCCAGTTGTTGATAGCACAGCCACTTGATAGAGAATAATATAAAGTTATGAAATTAAAGTAATAAACACTGGTTCTAAGATGCCTTCAAGGACATTGCTCAACAGTGATGAACTATCCCAGTAAGTGACACTTACCAGAACGACAGGATGATACCAGTTACCAATACACATTGATGCTCCCTAACGAGGGGGTTCTGAAGGGCTAGTGGAAAACACAGATACAGATGATTTTGCTTCGTAAAGAAAGCAGCTGAAACATAAGGAGTGATTTTGACAACTACATTTCAGAATAGAGTCACCCTTCAAATTCAAAGATGGTGCCTTGTCTCGGTGGTTTTCACCCCCAGCACGGCAGGGCGGGCGGCTGAGCCCAGCCTCGCACCCCTCCGCAGCGCTGCCGGCACCATGCCTGGGCTCCCGCGCCAGCAGCGGCCTGTCCCACGAACCAGCAGCCCGGTCCTCAACTCCAGGACTGCCGGGCAGGGGGTTTATCACAAAAGTCACACAAGAGGGACAAGTGCAGCAGTACTGGCTCAGCTAATTCATTCCCAATCAGCTTCTGGAAGTTTAGTTTCCCAGCAGCCAAGCCAGCAGCTCGGTAACCACCTGCTCAGCAGCAGTCGGAGGAGTCAACAAGCAAAGCGCTGCTGTGAGTCACCCCGTGAAGCGGTGATGAAGAAATCCTGCACCTATTTGCACCTTCCCTGCAGACACCTCCGCCCTTTTCTCTCCCTCCTTCCCTACAGCCAAGGCTCCCAACAGAATCAGAGAAGCCCAGCCCTCCCTTGTAATCAGCAATGTCTTCGAAGAATACAGCTGGAACCACCGAAACATTTCCAGTGTCTTGCAGCCCTGTCATCCCTCACGCAGAAGCGCTGCTCCAACACCCTCCCCAGCTCCGTCCTGTTCTGCCGTTTGCTGGAACAGGAAACTATTCACTGCTTCCACCTGCCCACCAGCCAGGAAAGATCTGAACCACCAGATCTAGAGCAATTCATGCAGACAGCTGATTCTGGTAAACTGCTTTTTTGGGTTCAAAGATGCGCGGTACCCGATTCACCGCTTTTCCCCAATGCCTGTCTGCAACGTGCTCATCGTAATACATACATAAAACTAACTCTGCTTAAAAATAAGTTACAGCACATCACCCTGATGTACCTTCAGAGAACACTGCTGTGTGCACGGCCCAGTTACATATCCTATTATATAGGCACGTGTATCATAAAGCACTGAGAAGAAATGAGTTACCTCTCCCTTATCTAGTTCCTCTTTTTCATTTCAGTCTCTTAATTACTTCTTTTTCTTCAGATTAACCAGAAGAGTTGTGACTGTTTTCCCATCCGCTTACCAGAATTATTTTTGATCTACAGGATGGGAAATATATTTCAATTAATATTGTCTTGGCTGAACTTTTATTCCAATTTAGCTTCATTTTATTCTATAACTGACAATACTGAAGTCATGAGTAGAAACACTGAAAGCACTTTCTGACAGACTCCAGGAGTATAGCTTTTTTTCCCCATAGCAATTTGACATTAATGGATCGTAAATTTACTTTTTAAAAAACATCCGTCTCCTTGCCAGTGGTGTCACGACTTCTATTTCAAGCAGCATTTTGATTCAAGAACCTAATATTTTAATCTCATTTTCTAAAAGCCAGGTTTAAAATCCTTAAACTGTTTTACAAACTCCTGACACGCATCTTCAAATGACTCCAACCTCCCCCACAACAGCACCCAGACTGTTTACGCAGCAAAGAGCTAACAACAAGGCACAGGTGCCCATCTCCTTAATCAAAGTTACTTAAGGCATAATGCTACGTACAAATTTAGCAGAGCGCTGTAGGCCAAACTTTTACAAAGCAAAAAGATTTTCAGGTCTTTTAAGTTTTGAGTCTCTTGTCTTCAAACACCTTCAAAGGGTCCACACTTCTGATGCAAGCAGCGCTGTCTCTCTGAAGGTAACCTTAATCCAGACACGAAACCCACTTATTCCTAGCCTGCGCCTGCCTGTTCTGTGCCTGCCCCTCTGGCAACACCCCAACAGCGCGTTAAACTGCTAAAAAGACAAGTCTCCATTTCTGGCTTTGTTTACAAAGACCCATTGCACTCAGCCTTATGAAAGCACAATTGCTTGCAGCGTGTTACAAAGCTCGTACATCCCTGGGTTCTGAACTCAGTGGGAGTCACCATCATTCCAAGACAAAATTTTGCAGCTGTACAGCCAAGTAAAAGAACACCTGGAGAAGAGAGTTCTCCAGAACCACCGAAATGCTCAGAACTGGCAAACGAAGTGGCCATCCCCTGACAGCCCATCGCAATTCAGACCACTACAGTATCACCACCCAGTACGCTGGGAAACCACCCACCGCTCAGGCTGAGGCAATGCATTCTCAAGCTTCCTTGATTCAATGGTTTTATTTTTCTTAAGAATACTTCCAGAGGACAGAGAGACACGGGCATTTTACAAGTCTTCATACTCAGTTCTTTCTCTGATCCTTTAAAAGAAAAAACCTGCAAATTTGATCTTTTTAGTAAGTGCCAACACTGCTCTCAGCTCTGGCTAGGAAACAGTCCCTGCCCCAAAGAGCTTCCACTCTAGGAAAGAGAGTAATACAAAGGTGAGGTTCACAGGGAAAACAACAAGGAAGGTGACACGGTTTGTCATGCTGCTGGTGCCATACAGGGAGACTGGTACATCCGTTCGTGCTGGCAGTCAGTACGCAGACACTGAGTAGACCACACATTGCACACGACAGAACATGTTCACTCTGCAGGTGTTTGGAAGGGAGAAGGTAAAGAAGCTCTCCAGAAAGTTTTCAAGGCAGTCCTGTGATGAGGAAGGCATTCGTTCTATGTAGAAATTTTTGCCTATTTACATCCTTTTTTTAAAAAAAGAAAATAAAATTATAGTCAACATGCCAAAACTACATTCATCAAATCAGTCGCCTTACAAAAATAAAATTCTCAAACCATGTGTTTCCAAAATAAATATCAATAGGGTTGGGAAAAAATAAATACATGTATCCAAGCTGTGTTGTTAAAACACAAAAAGGTACAGTTCCTTACTGAACAGTGGCCATGGAGTCCCGATTAAAGCAGCAACTGTTCAGAGCATCCTTCTCTTACAGTAACACATGAAGAAGAGTCCCAAGCAGCAAAGAACAGATTCTTAATAAAAGAAATATCTAGGACTGTGTTCCTTACGGGAGAGTACAGAACATTTTCATCTTTGCTGAACGACAGGGGCGAAAAAACAGTTTTCCACGACAGACCCCTGCTGAAATTTTCTGGTACTGCCAAGCCGTGAGAGGCTAACATCCCTTCTCTTGTTAGGGAAAAAAACGAAAAAGCAAGCAGCCTCATCTGTGAATTTGATTGTTTGTGAACACACGTGTACGGTTCCCTGATTGAGCAAAAAATGAATCCTTCTTTAAAATGCTGAGCTACTCTTCCTCCCCCTCCCCAAACAGCAACTCTGGTGTACGGAAACAAGACATAATATGACGCTGCCTACAGGAGGACTGCTGCAGCAGCGGGAGCCAGGGGCAGCTCGACCTCTGGCAGCAGACTTTTACTGCTTGGGAGCACAAGCTGCACCAGTTCGGGATGGTCCAACATGAAACCAATGCTTCCATGGCAGCCCCTTGTATTTCAAGGGCTAATTCATTGCCCTGAGCTCCTGCTGTCAGGAGTCAGTCTCAGTTTGGCCGGTAGTAGTCACAGTGCTCTAGGTAACAGGAGGCAGGGGACCCTATTCCCCACTCTCATAAGGCAGCCGTACCACACCAGGAAATCAGTTTCCTTCTTGAAGGTTTCAGGTTTTTGTGGTCCTGTATGTCCTCTTACTTTTTAAATTGCTTTTCTACCTATTTAAAAGGAGCAACATGCCCAGATTAACAACAGTGGTCAAGTAGGCAGAGAATAAAATGTCCACAATGCAAGCTCTACGTAGGTTTACAATGTACTGGTCATGCATAAACCCCTACAGATCCTGGCAGGCATTTAAACATTGAAGTCGATGTAAGATCAAATTGCTAATGAACTGACTGTTGAATGGACTGTAACCAGCTTGAAATCACTGGTAGGTTCTGCATCTGATGTCATGTCAAATCAGTGGTCATCTACTTTAACCCTTTTTGCTTTCAAGGAAAGATGCTGCAAGAAAAGAAGAGAAAAGAAAAATTGCTTAGCATATACACAATTAGAAAGATATTCAACTAGAATGCTTTCCGTCTTTAATGCCAAATTCAATAAATTCTTGTACAAATATCAAAGACCACCCTTCCCAAGCTCCAATTGTTACTGATATAGCCAAAATAAACCTATGAAATCAAAAACCCACATGTATCCCCAAGTGATATTCTGGCTTGGTATAAAATACCACCTTCTAGTACCCCTGTACTAACTGCAAGCATAGGAACAATTTCCCACCGGAAGCAAGTTGCCAGAAAGGGACATGTGCTCCCAACACCACACATGCAGAAACACCAGGAGTACATACATGAGGCACAAGACTTCATATACATATGTATATATTAATATATACCTTAATATATTAGTTACTTATACGTTAATATGCGTTAATATATTAGTTACTTATACAAGTAACTAACGTATTAACACTGCAACTTCAGTTGCATTGGACCTGTGAACCTTCACGCTCTTAAAGAAAAGACCTACAGAAATGTGAAAGGAAAACATGAAGACAGTCCTGCAAAATTCGGAATGAGACATCATTGACTGAGAGCATGATCAAGCTGTAGAGGAAAATCTTTTCACAGAGAATCCTATTCAGTTGTACTTTGTTTTTAACTTGATACAGGAATAAAAATTCTCATATTTCAGGAATCTCTTATTAGCACAAAGACGTATCTTTCAGTAGAAAAAGGGTCTAAATGTCTGTAAATTAGCAGAAGTTCGTGTGTATTGCAATGGCTTGCTTATTCAAATTTTACATGTGTAACTCAAAGCTTTACACAACGGGAATATTTCTGATTTTTAAACATTTCATAAAGACACCCAAGCCTTTTGGCTGAGAAACATAACTGACCAAGCTGGAAAAGAATTTTCCTCAAAACCAGCACCATCCTCCAGAGCTTCCATTTATTTTCAGATGTAGGCACTGCTTAGGTCATGCTGCAAACTGAGTTCATCTCTACCAAATCAAAAGGATGGCAATGGTAAAACTTCGGTTCTGATGCAGTTTCACAGAATATCTACAACAGCGGTAGTACTACCTTGAAAAACACGTTCTCTCAGTCAGTTAGGTGGTACTATTCGAGACAAGCCTTCTTCACTTACAAAAAGCAACTCGAGTTTTGCCTGAACAAGTCGTCGAGTCACGCTCCCCAACACCTACCTAACCTAAAGGAAAACCTCACCCCAAAACTGAGCCCGTGGAGAGGTCATATCATAATGGGGCGTTGTGTTGTGCGTGGGATGCTACAACACGTAAATATGTGAGTCAAAAGGACTAATTATTCCAGGAGCAGATTTGATACAACTGGAACATCGGCTCATCTCCTTTCCACACCACGCTTGCAGAATGTCCAACAGCAGCTAGAGACTCAGGGGTCTACCCTGCAGGGGTCATTACTGCCTGTGTCAAATGCGTTATAGAGAAAAAAGCAGGAAATATTCAGCTACTGAGTATTTATAGATGGCAAGTGTCGGGATAACCGAGATGAATTATCCAAGCTCAACACAAAAAAACCCAACCCTCTCAAGGCTATTACATGGACAGATGCCAGTGCTGCCATACACTGTAGCCACACAGGTATGTCCTAAGGTGCTCCGTGCACCACAGTGTTTTTCTTTTTTCCAAAAACCCCAGGAAGTAAAAGAAAGCAAACATCAGATTCTCAGAAGAGTCAAATAGCAAATGGGTAAATCAGAAACAGCCATTTCTGCACCACGGCTGCTCATAAGCACGAACAGATCTCTTGTTTTGCATAGGTCTGATATGCAAGTGCACTGTTTCACTTCACTAATTCATAAACATAACATAAAGCTCGGTAGTTGCTAATCTCCCACGGGAAATTCACCTGCAAGATCACTCTGGTAATCTTGCCCGTACCGTATTTACATGCAACGTGGTATCAACAGCTCCTACATAACTAACATTTAGATTTTATTTAATATTTAATATTTAATAGCAAGCCAGGTCTCAGAATGACCAATGAATAAGTCTAGACTTTAGATTTTATTTAATATTTAATATTTAATACCAAGCCAGTTCTCAGAATGACCAATGAATAAGTCTAGATTGACGGATTCACAAGGGACAGAGTTGATAAAGGACAGTGATAACTATTGAAAGATACTTGTAAAGAAAAGGTACGTACATCACACGCAACAGAGCTTGCAATACAGGTTTGCACAAACGGCAGCTGTTCTTTGCCATATCAGGTTTGAACAGATCAGAGCAAATTTTTTTCGCAAAGGCTCCTCTAAAATTATTGTGGAAAGTATGACCACTGCCTAGCTATAGCGCTGCTCAGAGAAGTGCTACCAAGTGCCTAGGTTCAAGTGTAAAACAGTTGAAGGCTTCATTTACCAGAGCGATACACTATTTTGTAACTTTGAGATCATGTCTCTTGGCTGGATAATAGGGAAAAACCCCCAAAATTTTCATGCATCAATTTATTATCCTCTTTCTTTCTGTTAAAACTACTACAATGAACAACACTAAATTAATTTTTGTACCATTAAATAGACAACAGCAAAACAAACACTTAAATAGTTCAGATACAAGAGCTGCTAATACAGCAATGGTACCGTTTGGGCTTTATGCCGATTCCGTACCGTTCCTTGCTGGTAAAAATGAGGTGCCAGTTCCAAGAGCCATGCAGATTCAACGGCAGTCACATCTCTCATGTAATATTTAGCAGTCTGTATGACTTCATTGTAGACTACCCTAGAAGAAAGAAAAAGGACAAAAGTGTTTGCTATAAAGCAATGAGGGAGAGCGCCGATTAACAGCATACCTAGACAGTTTCACACGCATGCTGCCAGAGGTACTATTTACAAAGTGGCAAAAG